TAGATAGATAGATAGATAGATAGATAGATAGATAGATAGATAGATAGATAGATAGATAGGAAAGAAGGAAAGAAGGAAAGAAGGAAAGAAGGAAAGAAGGAAAGTCAAGAGCAATGATGCTCAATAGCATTTCCTGCTTTGGAATTATCCAAAGAAATCATGGTATAAGCTATTTTCCCAAGATGGATCAGTTGATTTTCCATCCACTCTTGGAATATTATGGTCACTGTTCTTTTTGTACTGTGAAGTGGGGATGGCTCTTAATATCACTGGTGCAGAAGAAAGGGTTGAAAATTACCCCAGTGTGGAAATTTCTATCCACCTGTTTCCATAATATTTAATCGAACTTTATTGTAGTATTTCCCAATTTTCTTGGCAGGACCTATCAAATACAGTATACAGTAAGTGGTTCTGTCCTAAAACAAAACAGAATAAAACAAAATCAAAGCCACCTGTCCTCTCCTCATAAAAAGTCTCATAAAATGTCTTGTTAGTGCTTTCTTCCACAATCTTCTGGGCTATTTCTGTAATCAATTTGCGTGCTGTCCCACAAAATGTCAGTGCTACTTGGGAAGGGGACACACATAAATGATTACATGATAAGTGATTACAATTGGTGCCAGACAAGCTAATAGCCTTCATCTCTGCTACTGAGCAGGGCTGTATGGTGTACCGTTGGAAACATGGGTAAGAAACACAAGAGGACTAATGAAATGTTATGAGAGCAAGAAATTGATAAAAAGTTGCAATTTTAGTAGGAGTTCCATATAAAAACATTTGTAATGTGCTCCAGGGAAAAACCCTGTGGGTTATAGTTGTCTTTCCTCCAGAAAATACAGCAAACAGTTTCCTGTTGCCTCCCAAATGTGTGAGGCATGTTGGTGATGAATTATGGCAGTTAAGTCCAATATCTAGAGAGCTGTAGGTTAGGAATACTGAAGAACGTCTTGATTATAAAGAGGAAAGCAAAAGCAAGATATAAGACATGCAGGTATTAACCCATCCCATTAGGAGCCAAGCATTTCTCCCATGCTTTATGGCAAACCATTCATGCTTAGAGGCTTTCCCTTTCTTTCTTCTAGGGAAGCAAGGAGAAACTGCTTCAATGATTCATCTCCATTATCATCTGAATACCTTACAGAACACTTAGATTCTAACTTGGTACATTTCTCAGTTTCTAAGGTCATCTTTTGATTATATTTTGAAGGTAGAATGTTACTGCCTAAGCTACCCAGGGCTCTTTTCAAAAATTTAAAAACATTGATTACTTTCTTTCAGCTTTGAATGTCTTGAAATTATGATAACCTGATAAACTCAGGGAAAGGCAGTAGTATTCATAGTTTGGGGAATATGTTCTTGTCGCATTTATTCAGATAAATCCTTTAAAACCAGCAGCAATGTTAATAACTTTATTTGGTTTCCTTCCATGCTGCTGTAATATTTAAAGCAATCACTTTGAATGCCTTTCACAAGAAAAATGGGAAGTAAATTAGATGAACCGCCATCATCATCATCATCATCACCATCATCATCATCATCATCATCATCCAAAAGGTGTATAATTGCAGCCTATCGAAAAGTTTCCACTGAGTTGCAATTGTTAATGTGAAAGAAGTAAAAGTATTAAATGTACAAAGAGTAATAAATTTTACTTTCTGCCCTGGCCTCCTTTGGGGAACATAGTCCATGGTACATTATTCAATACTCAAATGGAGCCCTCATTCTCAAAAAGCTTGCTCTCTTGGTTTAGGATTTGGAATTAAAATAGTGAGTCATTTCTGCCAATATATACTGCTAGATTGATATTGCCTTGTCTTACAACAATGTTTCCCAACCTGGGCAATTTCCATATGTGTAGACTTCCACTCCCAGAATTCCCCAGCCAGCATGTCCGTTGAAGAGAACTGTAGGAGAATTTTAGGAGTAGAATTCCACATATCTGGGAATTCCCCAGGTTGGGAAACACTGTCCTATAGCAATAGAAGTGGAAGCCAATTGGCTAAGAAGGACCTCAAACACTCACCTGGCCATGTGCTCATATCATTGGAAAAAACCACATTAACCTAACCATTAGCCTTTTCCCCAGCCCCTGTTTTGTTGCTGTTTTCTTCTTGGTAATACCTTACACTTGAATTACACTAATGCAGAAATTATTTATAAAAACTCAGTTGGCATTAGTAATTGGTAAGCCAATCAGTACAGACCTTGAGGGTTAAACTGATACTGCACAGGGCTTATAAGCTGCTTGGCTTCTTCTCAGAAAATGCTTCTTTAAATCTAAGATCAGTTTTCAGCTATATGTATATGGTGTTTTTGAACAAGGATAGATGAAACAATATTAGTAACGCAAACATTGGTATCCTTACAACTTATTCTTGACCATCCTCCTTCATTGCAGAGTTCTTAACTGAATATGTGAAAAGATGTGAACCAAATCTGTACCCATGCACTTGTGTTTTTAATTTTCCAGTAAAGGAAGAACAAAAACCAGTCCTGACCAGTCAACACTGTGGATTTCTAAGAACCCAAGAAAGGACAGTAACCTGGAGGTATAGAGAAATGGCTGAAAAGGAAGCAGGAATGACATTTTTCAGGATCTCTTAGATTGTCTTGTCAAGTATTAGTTCGGAATGGCTTGAAATTGCAACAAATCAGCAGAATGAACTGGAAGCTCCCCCTTGAGGCAATTGCTCTGATGATTTTTTTATACATATAGTTTTTGGTTTTTAATCCCATAGCAAACATCTCTAAAAGTAAATAAGAATATGATTATTTTGCTAAAGAAAAATAACTCGGCTACGGATACTAATGAGATGGACAGAACATTTTGAATTTATTCCCTGTGTCAGTTATAGAACAAATATTTCTAATTTAACTGTTAACATTTATTTCCATTATTAATTTCTCATGTATTGTATTATTTCTCAGTAATGGATAGAGTGTAGTTCCAGCTAATATGAACTTATGGTGTAATAAGATAATTTATCTTTGCATAAAAAATTCTACACTAGAATGTGAGTTTATTGTCGTTCCATATATGTAAAGAAATTTGTCAGTACTATTCATGTGAATGATAAGATTTTTTTTAGGCAAGAAAAATGATGCACAGTACTTGATTATTCTTTGCTACCATCTACTTTTTGATAATGCTTGTCCAGAGTTAGCACAAATTATTCTACTCAGGTCATATTAATTAGTACAAAAATAGTACAATTAGTACATTCAATTCCCTGAAAAGAAACTGAAAGAGAAAGTAGCTTTTCCTATGTATGCTTTACTGTTGGAACAAGCAATGGCAGAAATGTATGGTTTGATACCTTGTTCCATACTGGTATCTGGTATCTGGTTCTGTTTTGTTTGTTTTTATTCTGGAAAAAAGAAGGCACTCTGAGGCTAGTAGAAATGCTATAACACTGACTCTTAGAAATCCTGAACAGCACAGGTATGAGATGTAAAGACTGTCATGGACTTCCTTCCCTCCCTCCCCTCTCTCTCGCAGAACAATACAATTGCATAAAAAGGTTTAAGCAGTCCTTGTCAAATTGTATCACTGTATCCCTGAGTGACAGAAGCTGGTACCACTTCTGTATAGTACAAAGTTAAATATAATAACTTTTGCATACTTGAATGCATACACTATTTGTGTGCAGGGTTTTTTTTTTTAATAGATTCAAAATGAGAAAACAGTGAAAATGGCAGTTCAAGGGTCTGAATATTTATCTTGTAAATATCTCCTTTGATACAAATAACAGCTTCAAAATATTTCCTGTAGCCAGCTAAGAGTCTTTCTGTTCTTTTGGAATTTTTGTTCCCATTCGCTTTACAGAAGATCAGGTTTGAAGACCAAGAAAAATATTTGTGAAACTGCCTCAAAACTGCTCAGGTCTGTAAAACAGATCCTCAGTACAACAGTGATATGTAAGAAAATGTTGTTAGAGGAAGTAGTTTTCAACTTTATTACAAAAGTGATTGTCTATAGTATGGAAAAGGAAACCCTAATAAGACTTAAATATTTTGGAACAAAGTGCTTTGAACTGATTAAACAAACAAACAAACAAAAAATACTTTTCACCCACATACCATTAAGATTCATTTGAAGAAGAAGAAGAAAAGAACAATAAAGCTTTTGAAGAAAAGAACTTTTTGCCAGTTAAACATGGAGATGGTTCTGTAATGTTTTGGATTCACATGTCAGCCAATAGCACAGGAAATACTGTGTGAATGGATAGAAAAATAGATTCATCTAAATATCAACATACCTTAATGTCCCATTGTTAGTGATGAAATTTAAGCTGAAAACAGGTTGGATATTTCATCAAAACAGTGATCAGAAACATATCTCCAAGCCACCATGAAGTACCTACAGGAAAGAAACACAAAGGGGTTTGATTGGGTTTCACAGTCAAATTACAAGAAATTGTGGGGAGATTTCAAACATGCAGTGAATAAATTATTTCTGGGCTAGAAGAATTCTGCAAGGAAAACTGGGGAAAGATCCCAAAAGCAAGAGTAGAAAGGATCTGAACTGATTACAGGAAATACTTTGAAACTGTTATCTCTGCCAAAAGATGTGCTACAAAGAACTGAATGAAAAGATATACAAACCTTTGCACTTGCTACATTCACTCTTTCCGTATTCTGAATCTGTAAACAGCTGCACACAAATACTAAATGTGCATTCAGATTTGCAAAAGATGCCATTTTCAACTTTGTACCATACAGAGGCTGTGTCAGCTTCTATTCACTTAGGAATTCATTGAAGCAAACAATTTGATCAAGGATGCCTAACTTTTGCATATACGGCTGCTGAGAAATATTCCTTATCCTAGTGATTCTGTTTAAATTAAAGACTACCAGGAAATATCAGGGCTGTGAGCCAGACTTGGAAGTTAAAAAAATACTCTCCCCCTCCCCCCAAAAAAGGCAAGAGCAAATTGCTTCCATATTGCTGCCAAAAAAATGACAGAAATATCTATGAAATAACCAAAAGCTGAGTTTGATGCTATTGTGCTGGTTATTTCCTTAAAGCAAAGAAGAAAGTGATGTTGAGATGTTCTCCTTGGCTAACATGGAAACATATGTTAACAGCAGAAGCCTCTACTTGTACATTAACAGCAGTGGAACTAGGACTAATGCATACATACTGGATCCATTCTCATATTTCTGTTCCAACATTCAGTGAGTTGCATATGTATATTACAATTGTTTCTACTGAAAACAATTTATTTTAAATAGTATCATGTGTACCAATGCAGGTTTGTGAGACCTGATGTGTGATACTTACTTCATCTCCTGCAGTTTTCAAGAGAAAAGTTGATAATTGTTTGTATTAAGAAACAAACTCTGAGAAATATGAATTATAAATTCAGTGCTAAGCTACATGCAGAATGGTTAATTTGGCATAATCAAGTAATAATTTAATTATAATTTCAAGACTATTGTGGGTATTTAGCTGTTATTTCTGAATTTCTAATATCTGAATCCAGATTAATTTTATTTCGTTTAAAAATACAGAAATGACTTGAACAACTTCTCATAGGAATGAAATATGTACACACATAATGTGATTTCACAGAAATAGCATTATAAAGCATACCCTATTGATTTCAATAGAAAGCTGGTCTTTATAGCTGTGAGTTATTTTTCAATGATTCTCATTGTATACTAAATACAGTAATTGTTTGGTTACTCTATCATGCACTGCAGGAAAAAAAATCTAAAATCAATTAACATGAGAATAGAAAGTTACCTACTTGATTTGAATGCTTTGACCCATAATATTTTCTAGTTCACTTGACTAGACATGGGAGTTTCATATGTACTGCTAATCAATATCCTGAATTTTTGCATAAACTTGGCATACACTTTGAATTTCTTTCCTAATAAACTGAGTTAATAGGAAATGATCAGGGAGGTATGTGACTGAGGTTTTCTGATTGGAACCTTAGTAATGACATATAAACTTATATACTGGTATCTCATTATCATGTGAAGTAAGCAGTCATTTAAGAATCTCTTACAAAAGAAATTATTATTATTATTATTATTATTATTATTATTATTATTATTATTATTATTATTATAATATTTATATTTATTGGCCACCCATCTCCAGTGGATTCTGCACCTTGAAAGCCATAAGAGTTTCAGTCATGGTGTTTTCTGTCTTGGAAAACTATGAGGACTGCCCTTGTCAGTAAGTTTAAAGGGACAGTTCTACTGAGGGTTGTAGTTTCATTTTGTTATCCTAGATCCTCTTCCCTTTTCCTATTCAAGCCTTAAGAGAGTAGCTGGAAGAAAAATATTGCAATCCTGATAACTGTCAGTTAGTGAAACTTCAAGAATTTGTTCAGATTGCTTCAAAGACATACTTGGACATAATTTGAATTATTAATTTTCGCCTGCTTCTGTCAAATGTTATTGTATGGATGCTACACTCACATCCTTTCCTTTTGAATCCTATATTATTTCTAGGTTTTTTTTAATGCTAATAATTAATGGTATTTTTTATCCAGTCCACAAATTTCAAAACGTCCACATAAATTCCAGGGCGATACGGCAGTGCACACTTGTAGCCAAAGGATGTTACACCAACCAGAAACCACTTTTTATTCTCTTGACACATCAGAGGCCCACCAGAATCTCCCTGAAATGACAAAGATGAATTAAAATATTGTTAGTGTTGGCAACACTATTGCTATGACCTTCACTGTTTAATAAGAGGACTGTCAGTTTTATATATTTCTGCAAGCTTCTCTATAAGTCATAAGTTTAAATGAAACATACTGCATAAAAGTTGTGTCACAATGCTTATATAAGGATTGAAGAAAGAAATGTCTTTCATGGGGCTCCTTCACCCAACTGCTAACCATGGACAGACAATGCTTCAGTACTCATACTGAGAAGGCTTTAAGTATCACCCCCAGCTTTCTCCTATCCTGGCATTGAGGAAGCCTGCAACCATGCTTTGTTACTCTGTTCCAAAAGTAGTGTTTTCTCCCTTGTGCCTTGAGCCTGACCTTGCAGTTCCTTTGCTGTACTTCAGTTCAATCTGTACATGGTAAGTTAGTTGCTTACAGGGACGGAGGCATGCCCCATTCCCTGTGGTCACTGGTTACTGCCCCCCATGGCTATTTTTGGGATGTCTACATCTGAAGAGAGGAACATGCCCATGGAAGCCTGAATCCCTCTGTGCTTTATAAACAGGGATTACATGGGTGATTTATATTTCTGATAATTTCTGAAGCACTAATTATAACTGGTCAAGGAGAAGTAGTGAGCGATTGGATTTCAATAGTAGACTGGAATGTTTTTGAACGGGTTCTTTGATGGACCAGTGGAATTGTGAATGGACCTTCCTTTCTTCCCGCCCTCTCTCCCTTGTTAAGTTGACAATAGTGCTGCTATGGCCGTGAAAGCCTTTGACAATAGTGCTGCTAGTTTCTCCTTTTAGCCCAAATGATCAGAAGAACAGTAATATTTTTTTCCTGCTCCCACACTTGTAGATATGCCAGGTGGAAACATCTTAAACATAAGGAGGTGGGGGTAGGCAGGGGATCGAGGTAGCAGGACTCATACAAAAGGTCTGTCAGTGAAAACTACATGACCTCAAAGACCTCCCCATGGAAAAGAAAGTGACTGGTTTTCTTTCCAAACATATGCAGAAAGAGCAGGGAAATCAATCAATTGGTAACCATGATCCAGACAGAACACCTGGCCAGTAGCATTGACAAACCTGAATGATAGATTTGAATCTGGACAGAAATGCATTAAGCTAGCTTCATTTCTAGCTGGTTTCGGCACAGGAAAAAAACCTGAAGGTTGCCACATGGAAAAGCCCTTAGTTTGTTGAGCATAATACAAAGTATGCTGGCTTTGATAGCAGCCCATAGCTTGTAATAATAACAAGGACTGTTTTGTATTTCCTTTATGGATAGAGTTCTAAATGTTCAGCATAGTTTCTCGAAACTAATTCAAAGTAACATACAGTAGTAAATGATAGCAGAATGATAGCAGTGATATGATTATCCCTCACATCTCTACTTTTCATCTCATTGGTATCTATATAAAAAGTTTGCATTATAAAAAAGAATCAGAAAAACAGGTGATGAATCATTTAATAATTAGCTATACTGTAACAATGCAAACACTGTTACCATTTACCTGACAGGAATCAATTCCTCCTTCGTCATATCCAGCACATATCATGTTTTCAGTAATATTGTACTCTGGCATCAGTTGCTTGCATTTCTGATGTGTTATAAGAGGAACTTCTGCTTCTTGCAATATACTTGCAATTGAACCTATGTGAAAACCAGAAGCATGTGCACTGATGTAGCTAATAACATGATACATAACAAGTAAGTCAAATAATATATTAAGTCATTCCAATATGACTTATTTCCAGAGTTGGCCCATGCAAGGCCCACTGGATTCTCACTGACAAAAAGTTACATCTAATGGAATCAAGGTGGCTGTCTTACCAATGTGGTTTTCACCTTCCAGCTCAGCTTGCATTTGCAAAAGATGGAAAAGGTGTCTCTGCATGCCTCCAAGCAGCACTTTCAGTAGCTGTCTGAAGGCATCTGATGAAGCTTCTATGCATGCATAGTGTATGCGTAAAGGCCTCCTCTCGAGATTGCAATAGCCAGAGAAGACTCAAAAGAGAGGCTTTCCTCTTAGAAGCAAGGGGGTTCAAACAGCTTTGAGGGGATGATTTACTTGTACTTTTGCCAGGCAAAGTGCCCCTTTGCAGATGTGCACAGCCCTATTAACACCACTGTATGTGGCTTCAAGTGCTGTGTTATGCAGTATGGATATAAACAAAATCCATAATGGATTATAGGAGCAGATTTGTGAGAGCTCACAGAATGGCTGGACAACCACCTCTTACAGAGTTTTCTAGCTTTCAGCTTGCTCCAGCAACCATTTTCCCCTCCCATCTATCTATTTTTGCTTCTCAACATCAAAAAGTAGATAGTTGTAAAAAAGGTGCTGGATTAGATGGTGTGACATTCTACCCCTGACCAGGGTTGGTCTTTGAATTTATAGTGACAGAGAATCATATTCATCAATCATCAATCCAACAAGAAGGGAGAAATAAATGTCTTTCTGCCCTCGCTTCTGCTTCTTTTACTAGAAGAGCCCTGGCATTTGGTGTCCCCAACATAAGTACACTCCAGCTGGAGGAATACAATAGCTGATGGTTGCGGCATCCTAAAAATGAACAGATTGATTATGGCAGAGATATGTTGTTTATAATTTTTATTGTCTGCACCCATGTGTGTAGTAACAACTGAGCACAACATTTCGTGCATCGCTATATTCCTTTAATGAGGTAGGCTCTAGTCCATTACCGTTTATGCCATAATAAATCTGCTAGTCTTGAAAGTGCTGCATGATGCTTTGTTCTTCCCTTATTTATTGGTACCTTTAAATATTGTTCTGCAAAAGACATTTATCGTGCATGGTCAACTTGTTGGCTTGGGACCTAAGTGACATTATGTGTACTTTTCATATTAAGCTGTAGTCTGATTTCATTGATCCCAATTTAGAAAAGTTTCTGTGCTTTGCAACTGCTAAATAAATATATGCATATTAATTGTAAATCCCACTAGCATATTTTGGGCCAAGGAATATGCTATGTGGGAGATCTATGCATAACTGAAAAGCAGCTATTCTAAGGCATTGCACTATTTAGCAAACCAGTTTTAACTGTTTAGCTGCATATTTTGCCTTTTTTTTTTTTGCTAAATTTACAGCCACTTGGGTATACTAAGGATTGCCTTTCTATATGTTTTTCTATATGTTTTTCTATATGCCTTTCTATATGTTTCTATATGTTTTCTGCAATCTACTTGCATAAATCAAGGCCATGTTCCATGTTCCTTGGCTATGTGCGATATAATGAGTTGCAATTATGAATAATGAATAAGGACTTTTCAGTGGTGGTTTCCATTATTTGAAATGTCTTTCTAGTCTAAATCTAATTTATTGTCAGTTGTATGTATTCTTTATGCAGTCCACTTAATATCCGGTTATTCAAGATGCCTTTATTAAAATAAAAATAAATTTTCTATGGTAATGTCTGTTTTAATCCTATTTATCTTCATCTTGGATTTAATCATAAAAAACTGCTGTTTTTGTTGTCTGCTGGAATTTTCACCTCTTTATGATTAGTTTATCATTTAATTATGTGGGAGATCAACAACTTCAGTGTTTTTCAGTAGTTTTAAAAAGGCAACTTTTTAAAAGACAAATCAAAGTTGTTGTTTTTTTAAATAACCATATACATTTTCCCACCGATTATGTTTGAATGGAAAATTAATGCCATGTTTAATGGATCTGTTTCATAAAATGTATTCTAATATTATGACAACTGATACATCTGAAAGAGAAATGCTTTTATACTCTAAATTATCTTGTAGTGACTGCATCAGGAAAATATAATAATATGAAGAGACAGGGTCTACCTTCATGATTCCAATAAGTGTTTTTTAACAGTGCGATGACGTACCTTGATGTGTGGTTTTTCCCCAGCCAGCAATAGAGCATTTAGTTCCTGGCAAAAATTGTTTATTTTTTTCTGGGAAGCAAATGGGCTGAATATAATCTGTGTGAAAGAAATAAACAATCAATTATAGCTATAATCTCCAGTCTCCATAATCTTTGATGATGACATTGCACAAATTGTTTTGCTGAAAAATAAGCCCCAAAGAAATTTAGTACTTTAGGGCTACTACTTTTATTGTCATGATTATTGGAAATTATATTGTAATTTTTCTTTTAGATTTGGAACTAGATCTGTTCATATCACAAAGGCAAAGCTGTAGCAGAAAAATATTTTACCTGTGTAATTCAGTCTAAATTGGAGATGCATCAAAGCAATGTCACTGTCTTTTGTTCGCTTATTATAATGGGGATTGATGATAATCTGATCAATCTCTTGGGTGACTGTTTGAGGATATCGTAGACTGAGATTTGTATGCAGACCAAGAACTGCTTTCCACTGAGATGGTTTTAAATTCCTCCTAAATCAAAATGACATATGCTTAAATCATGGACTGAAATAGCTTGTGAAATGTAATTTTTGTACTTTTTAACATTATGAACTATATTAACACAATATATTCAAACACAACTCTTCCTGATTTCAGTAGTTATTTCAGTACTACTGGGGTAAACCAGGGATAGGTTTATACTAATCCTTCAGATGTTTTGAGGACTTGTTCCCACAATCTCTTTCCATTGGTTGTGTAAGCTGGGAATCAAACTTTTAAGGGCCATCAAATTACTTATTCCTGTCTTATATCTAATGTTCCCAAGTTTATGGCAACTAGGAAGTAAGTTTTTGTAAAAAGATGGAAATCAGAAAACATTCTTGATAAGTTCTCAGGAAAATGGATGAGCAGCCAATTTACCCTTGCAGCTGTGTGACAGTCCAGTTTAATAGCAATGTTCTATTTTGCCCAGTTAGCTTTTACTGAATCTATATTATAGCTAATTTTCTTCTTCCCATCATCTATGATAGGAACTGTATGTCACTAGTATATTTAAGACAAAATATACTAATATATGGATGTAATACTATATGCATTATTATACTAAAATAGATACGTATGCTGGCTGTTCATACTAAGAACTGTAGTTTATCAAAATTGAACTATATACATTTCACACATTCCTTTTAATAAATTAAAAATAGGCAAAACTCAAATTATATGTTAAATTACTTAGAACTGCTACCAGCATTATAAACTCAAAGACTCCTTCAAGTCAAGCTCCATTCCTAAAGATTTTATGGTCACATGCATTTGTATTTCTTGGTAGCAATATGGAGGATACTGCCTACTTCCAGGATTTTTTTTAATCTCCCAGTCTAGCCTCTAGCTCTTGAATTTCTTAAGGGTCTCTTCTCCAACTATTAATTAGATCTGAATAAATTTGTAAAATTAGCCAATGTTGCTTTGATGCTGCTATCTGCTGTGACATCGATATTATACCTGCCATGTGTTTCTTAAGGGACTCACATTTCTAAACAAAATCTATAATGTTTGTAGTACACCGTAGAATCGAACAAAATATAGATTTTTTAAGAAACCAAAAAAACATTCGTTTGTGGGCATAGGCACCATATATTTGAAAATTGTTTCCAGGTTTATTGCTTCATGTCCATATACAGTAGTCTATTAAATCACACTGCATCCTTTGGGAGATAATGTCTCACAGAGTGGTAAGTATAAGATGAAAGCTGTACTTTTATTATTTCTTCAACCCTGTTGAGCTAAAAAAGTACTTGTTTTTAAACTAAGCTGCTTGGCTATGAGTAATGTGTTCTATTATTGAGCAGTGATATGCTAGCAATAATGTAGCTGAGACACTGCAGAGACCTGATACATACGCAACAAAACAGCTCTGAAGAGAGAGGAGCTGATGGCTTTTACAAGGACAGGAACAGCTCAGGTTATGATTCAGAATAAAGTAGCCCTCACTTAATAACTGTTTGTTTAATGATGGTTTAAAGTTACAATGGCCTTTGAAAAAGTGATTTAAGACCTTTACTCACACTTACAACTATTGCAAACCATCGCACCACCCCCCGTGGTCAAGTGATTGTGATTTGCAACCTTTTTTACAATGGCCATTAAGCGAATCATTGTGGTTGTTAAGTGAATCATGTAGTCGTTAAGTGAATTCCACCAAAAATCATCTATTGGGGAAACTGGATTTGCTTAATGACAGTTGTAAAAATGGTTGTAAAATTGGGTCTGGTGACTCACTTAACAACCACCCCACTTAACATCCAATTTTACGGTCCCTATTGTGGTTGTTAAGCAAGGACTACCTGTATGTTAGCACAAGCCTGAGTGATATTGCTGTTGCTGTTAACAGATATTGCAAATTCTTAAGATAGACGATAATGAATAACTTCATTAGTTATGTTTCATATGGCCTGTTAAGCTGCATTTATCTAAGACATGAGGTCATTCTTTAATCACATGTCGGACAACACTCCAGGGGAGTAATACAGATATTCAATTGATTGTATTTAAAATGGAACACTTAGCCTAGTATAGCCTTTATAATGCAGATAACTACATTAAATCATTCTTGATTTACTTATATCTGAATAGTAACTAATGAAATGTACAGTTGAAAGTAATCTGAAGAATCAGCACCCTTGGATTCCATTTTTAGTGATGAAACTCTTTGAATATATCAGATACATTACAAGAAAAAGTTCAGATTTTAATATTCTGTAGAAAGCTTTGCAATGTGTAATGTGATCAGTGGTGATGGAGTCAACAAAAAGTCCAACCAACTCCCAATTAATGTTTTAACAGCATCAGGAGTAATATTTCTTATATCACTAAGATGCATTCTTTAACATGTAGGTATGCATATTTTAATATTCAAAGGTGGGTATATAAGGCCCTAGGTTTTGGGGGTTTTTTTAATGATGCATGCCCAGTTAATAAATTAACTTTTGACCACCAAGACTGTCCTGTTTGCCTTCCTATTCACAAAGTATTTACAAGAACCTGCTGCTTGTTAGGGAATAAGGGTGTTCATTACATTCCTCTCACATATTTCCCATAGTTCATAGTCTCCTATGACAAATATTAAAGAAATGTAGATAAATAAGCAATTACATGAAACTGCTCTAATCTAGATTCCTTGTTCTGATAAATGTTGAACGTTCTATCAATCCAACACACGTTCATGTACCAGAATCAATATAAGAGGTCGATAGGGTTATATGATTGCTTTTATTAGAACCCAAGATCTGATAACTAGATCCAAGCAAACAACAGAGGCCCTGGCTCAATTTGAAATGTGAGCTAGAATGATCATTTGAGGAAAGGACTGATGCAGATGCTCTGTTTCATGTAATGCTATCTCATCTAGTCTGCAAAAATCAGTATTACTATTAGATGAAAGCAAAGAGATATGTAATACTCCAACTCTTTGCTGTTTTTCATAGTGCCACATATTTTTGCAGCCCAGATATGAAAGGCTTAAGTTTTGGGGTACCTGAAAATAGCTTTCATTGTTGTGCTAGTGGCATAAAAATGCATGTTTTTACAATTTCTAAAATTATCTTACCTCTCAGTGCCATATCCTGGTAAATGAATGCTTCCCCATAAGGAACCACTATGTGTGTGTGTGCCTGTCTGTCTGTCTCTGTGTACACACACACACACACACACACACACACACACATTTCTCAGCAGTTGCTTACTCCTGGAAGTGAGTGATCCTGGATCATTTATAGCAGTATAAAAATACTGACAAGGGCCAGAAATTATCAGGTCCTGTCACATCCTAATAATATAGGAGCAGGTATTCTGTTGCAGTTAAAAAGGATGGTGTTTCATTCCACTTATTTTGAAGGGCCTTAAAGACCTGGCTCTTTGCCCAGGCCTTTGGAGAGGACAATTGATGCCCCTTTCTTCCTTTCTCTTCCCCTTTGGTTTTATTTTCTTTGCCATCGTTGTTACTTTGTCTTATGCTGTTTTTGCAGGTTTTTTTGTATTGTTTTCTGTTTTTTAAACGTTTTAACAATTGCAAACTGCCCAGAGTTGCTGGGAGTCAGGCAGCATATAAATTATTAGTAGTATTAGTGTAGTTGGTCACACAGTCAGCCAGGTGTTTAGACTGGATTTGGCATTCTCATCCACTTATTGAGTCCTTCCCAAGGACCTGGGGTTTGCTCTCTTTGATGGTGTTAAAGGTATCGTCGCAGGATATAAGCTTTTCCAAGTAAAACTGCCTTTTGCAATTGACTGATGGTGATTTTGTCAATGCCAATGGTGTTCAAGTGGTGCTCCTGACATTTTGGGATTGCACCTAAGGCTCCTATAACCATTGGTACTATCTTTTCTTTCTTTTGCTGTAGTCGTTCTACTTCTACTTGCAGGTCTTTTTATCTTGCAATTTTCTCCAGTTCTTTCTCTTCTATTCTGTTGTCTACAGGTGTTGCAATGTCCACTATCCAGACTTTTATGTCTTTAGAAGAGAATATATGTAGCTCAGGGTTGAACTGTAGAGTCCTTGGAATTCTTTGAGCTTGGTTGTTTTCTTGCAAACATTTCATTACCTAGCTAGGTAACATCTTCACTGCTAGAATGGAGTGGGGTTTGCTCTCTATTTAGCAGCCACTGTATATAAACAGAGAGCAAACCCCACTCCATTCTAGCACTGAAGATGTTACCTA